GCAGCCCGGGCCGGCGAGTGTGAGTTCCTCGTTCCGGATTTTCGTTTCCCTTGCGAGCCATCCACGTCCACCTCGCGCTGTTGGATCGGGTCACCGCCGCCGCGGAAAAAGCTGCCTTTTTTTTTCGCTCGAGCGGGCGCGCCGAGCTGTGATCCGGCGTCGCACACCTGGGCTCTGGTGGTTCCGGTTCTTATCCGGAAAGGGGGGGCGGCATCCGACGGGAGGGAGAGTGGGTCGGGCCACAGGCCACGAGCACCACGTGACGAGCGGTTGGCGATGGCGACGACGGGTGCGGGAAAGCGCAGCGGCGAGGGACGGGCGCTGAGGTTTTTACATAAGGAGGAGGAGGGCGGGGGTCCCGTTGCGTGACGTACCGTGGGAAGGGACCGACCGAGGGACAGGATAGGAGCGGAGTGGAGATCTGGGCTGTTCCGTTCCTGAGCTGCTACTAGTGGGGAGGGTCGACGACTCGTCGGTCGAGGAATGGGGACCGCGATGGATGCCGTGGCCTTCGGGTCGGTGGACGGCGTGGTTGGGGAGATCATGCGGCTGCACCGCTCCCTGCCGGCGCGCCCGGCGCTGGAGGAGGTGGAGGCCGCCGAGGCGCTGGCGCACGCCGCCGACCGGGAGGAGCGGGAGCGCCTCGACGCCGTCGCGCGCCTGCGCAGGCCGCCCGCCGTCCCTGACGAGCTCTTCGGCGTCGCCCTCGAGATGCACCGCGCGCTCGCCGCCTTCCACTGCCGGGAACAGAAGCGCGACGCCACAAGGCTCCTCGAGCTCGACGCGCTCCACGGCCTCTTCGACGACCTCATCCAGCGCGCGTCGCAGTGCGTGCCGTCCAGCTCCAGCTCCACCCGCGCCGCGCCGCGCGTCACTGCTTCCAACAAGGCCGCTGTGACCACCGCTGCCGCTTCGTCTTCCTCCTCCGCCACGTCGTCATCAGCGGTGGCTGCGGACAGCAGCGCTGACCGCTACTCGTCCATGGGCGCTAATGGGTTCAGTGCGCCGAGGATGGTGACCGGCGTGGGGCGCGTCTCGATGGACGACAGCTACGTCAAGAAGGCCAAGGCCGCAGTATGGGACGACGGGGTTGTGGCAGCGAGCTCTCATATGCCGCGAGGAGCAGTTGCTGCAAACTCAGTGGCGACTCGTGTGGACGGCGGTTATGGTGAGCCAATTCTACCTTGAACTGCTTTGTTACCAAATTTGTGATTTCAGTGGAGTGCTTAGATACACCTTCATGTAAATTGTTAGCATTTAGAGATTTAGTGAGTTAAATTGGAAGCATATGCATTGTTGTCTTGTATGAGACAAAATGGAATTTCCTTAGCTACCAACTAGTCCATGATTTGTGATAATTAGTTGGACGTTGGAAGTATGTACAAGTATCTACGTATTGATTGATTCTTTGCTTCATGATTGGCTTTTGCAGGTGATGACAACGAGAAATTGACCCTCATTAAGCTAGCTAGCATGATTGAAGTCGCTGCAAAGAAAGGTGCTCGCGACCTCAACCTGCAAGGCAAACTCATGAACCAGATTGAGTGGCTCCCTGATTCAATTGGAAAGCTCACTGGACTTGTCACCCTTGATATTTCGGAGAATCGGATCTTGGCCTTGCCAGAAGCAATTGGGAGGCTTTCTTCTTTGGCCAAGCTTGATGTTCATTCTAACAGAATTGCTCAGCTTCCTGAGTCAATTGGGGATCTTTCCAACCTGATATATCTCGACCTGAGGGGTAATCAGCTTGCATCATTGCCGCCAAGTCTTGGTAGGCTGGTGAAGCTTGAGGAGCTTGATGTGAGTGCAAACCATCTTACCTCACTCCCTGACGCAATTGGAAGCCTCACACGTCTGAAGAAGTTAATCATCGAGACAAACAACCTTGATGAGTTGCCGTACACTATTGGCAATTGTGTGTCACTGGTGGAATTGCGGGCAGGCTACAATCACCTCAAGGCCCTCCCAGAGGCTGTCGGAAAGCTAGAGTCTCTGGAGGTCCTCTCTGTGCGATACAACACTATTAGGGGCCTTCCAACAACAATGGCATCTCTCACAAAGCTGAAGGAGGTTGATGCAAGTTTTAATGAGCTTGAGTCTATTCCTGAGAACTTCTGCTTCGTTACTTCTCTTGTTAAACTGAACGTCGGGAACAATTTCGCTGACCTGCAATCCCTGCCTCGTTCTATTGGCAACCTTGAGATGCTGGAAGAGTTGGATATAAGCAATAACCAGATTAGGGTGCTTCCTGATTCTTTTGTAAACCTGCAGCATCTCCGTGTGCTCCGTGCCGAAGAGAATCCTCTGCAAGTGCCACCAAGAGATGTAGCTTTGAAGGGAGCTCAGGTGATTTTCTTTACTTGAACTACTAGTATATATTAGCGACCATTTGTGGCAAGGTTTGTTCATTATTGTTTTCCCTTTCTTTTGTTTCATAGGCTGCTGTTCAATACATGACTGAATATGTTGCCAAGAAAGCCACAAGGTCACAACCAACGAAGACAAAGAAGACTTGGGCTCAGTTCTGCTTTTTCTCCCGGCCTAACAAAAGAAAGCATGACCGGATAGCGTCGTGATTTATTGTGAGATTGATGGCATGAAACTGCTGTTTTTTCAACCCTTCACTTCTGAAGAGAACTAATGGGTGCATCATCTTCGATTGCTACTGTTGTGAGTATGGGTCAACAAGATGTGATGCCCACACCTGTTCGCTTGAACTTATCAGCCAGAATCTACAGTATTTTTCTCTCACAACAAATCAGCTTCAGCCGGCTGTAATACCACCACACCAGCTCAACTTTGAATAACCCCCGGAAGAGTTTTGCTTCAGCTAAAGAATCTAGAAGTTGTGTAATCTCTCGGCCTTTTCCTATGATCGAGGGCAGCTGAGTAAAGAGATCTAGAAAGACTACTAAAGTTCGTTAGTCCGCGACTTGTCAATGTGCATAATATACATGCATCCGGTGAAACTAAGACCTTGGTTATTTATAATATTTGCTTTCAGAGATTTTTTTTCTTTATTTGACCATATATGTTCTTTTAAACTTCTAAGTTAGGACTAGAATTCTGCAAGATACCAGATGGCTGGTTTACTGCAGTCAAATCTTAAGGATACGATGGTCAAACTTTATTGGCCCCCTTTTTTGTATTCCTTAATATTTATTTAGTGCATTCTGAGAAGTGTCTGTTATAACTAGTGTGCTACAATCTTTCTGAAGAGATTCATAAAACACAAGATTTTGCATGTTTTTCTCTGATATGATTCCGCTCTCTTGTAATCTGGGGCATTAGACTATCTCAAACAACATGACCCAAAATATAAGATCCATTTCACGTTTGAGTAGCGCTACAGTTAAAGGGTTCAATACCCATTTTTGTTCTTCTCCAACAACAGGATCCAAAAGAGAACCCTTTCTGTAAATGAGTCTTCAAGAGAGAGAATACTCATATTTGGGTTGTGAGTCTGCTGCAACCCAAAATACGTTTCGCATATAGGTAATCTGTTGGAGGCCGAAACAGTACCATCCAATACCCATTTTGGGTTTGGGTACCCATATGGGTAAGCTGTTGTAGACAGTCTTACAAGCAGCATTCGGGGCATTCAGCACAAGGGCCTGGAATGTAGTTTTTTCTGTGAAAAAAATAAATTGATTTATGTGAAATTCTTCAACAATTCTTGCGCTCGAAAGGGGCCATAATTGTTGATTTCAGATGGTTCGATGTTGATGGCATGTGACCCGGTGTTTATGCAATCTGACATATCTGAATGAACACAGCACATGGCAATGGCATCGTTAAAGTATTTGAGTAACTTTCGATGCAGAAACCAGACAGTGACATCAGCAAAGAGGGTAGAACTGGAAGGGCTCAATACCTCAACAGATCCGAAGGGATCTTGGGTCTTAATCCGAATCAATTCAAGTTTGCAACATCAGTAAGCACTGAGCAGTGACGCGGCCCCACCCGCGCACGCAGCCGGCGAACTGGGCCACCTGACGATGCTTTCTTCCAGGACGCAGCAGCCAGTGCTCATCCCTGTTCATGACGGCGACGTCTCCGTGGAGACGAGAGGACATGGAAGCTTGCAAGCCTTGCCTTTGCATGCATGCATGCCAGCTGCGTCTCATACACAGATCCATGCATGATTGCTCCGTTCCATGATTGGTCCTGACTTCAGCGGCAGCGCCATGGATCTGACTGGCTGGAAGTGGCCCCTCTCTTGTTTGCCGGCGGACTCATGAAATTCTGGCAGGATTTGCAATCTAAGCAATGTCCAATAATCCTGAAAATCACTTGCAAATGTCGTGCGCAAATTCATGCTTGAAAGCAGTGGGATCGTACGATTTGTTTCAGCTTGAGCTTTAGCATGTCCGAGAGAAGGTAGGCGGCGTGCTGGAAAACAACCAGATGAGTTTTAAAGGGAGTGCTATACAGAAGTCAGGTGCTAAACAGTAAACGCTCACTGCTACCTTCAGCTTATTTGCTAACCTATGAAAGGAAGATGGACCGGTGACCGTCATGGCGAGCTGTATTTCATTGACTGATTGCAAATTGTGTTCTTAGTTCTTACTTCTTAGCTGTCCACATTTCAGTGTCCAAAAAAATGTCTTCGCAGCTCTCGATCTGCCTCACATCATTGCAAGCATAAATAGGCCTAGAGAGAACACTTTAGCTGCATTCTCCAACTAATACATTTGTCCATTACACTGCTTTTAAATACTAGGATCTTACAAGCTTACAGACACAAGAACATTCAACGTTCAATTAACAAAAAGGTAAGCACACTACTATTGTCTTTAGTGTTCATGTAAGGAACCATGCATCTACATTACAACAAATGCATTAGCTCAAAGACTTCATCGAATAATTTTCAAAACACAGTCACGGAAGTTAATCATTGTTCATGAGTCATGACTACACAAGTTCATTGAGGGTAACTTGCCGATAATAGCATTTCCTGTTCCATAGTGTATTGTCTGCTTGCGCCGTTAGTTACCGGTTCAATTGACATGTACTGAACCTGTCTCGTCCTCATTATTTCTCCTTGCTGTTGTAATACATGGGACAAGCTTTTTCTTCAATAACAAGTTTTCAAGTCTCATCTCCACTTCCTTCATTGTAGGCCGATCTTCTCCCCTTAAGTTAGTACACATCACCGCAAGTGCGGCCACCTCTTGGATGTCTCCATCTTCTTCCTCTGCGACTTGAGGATCTACTATATTGGCTAGGTTGTTTGTTGTGAGCATCTTCTCAAAATGTGAAACAAGATTGTCTCCATCATTGGACCTATAGTTGAATGGTTTCTTTCTAGTAAGCAATTCTATAAGAAGAACACCAAAGCTGAAGACATCGCTCTTGTCCGTTAATCGACCTGTATAATGATACATAGGATCTAAGTATCCCAGTGTTCCTTGAACAATAGTTGTTACTCCTGTTTGATCAATTGGGATGTACCTTGAAGCTCCAAAGTTTGATACTTTTTCTATTAAACTATCATCAAGAAGTATATTGGATGACTTAATATCTCTATGAAATATCGGCATAGAAGAGCATGAATGTAGATAGGACAAAGCTCTAGTAATTTCAAGTGCAATCCTTATTCTGTCAGCCCACAATAGTGATGTTGGTCCTTCAACATGAAGATGGTTATAAAGGGTTCCATTTGAAATGAACTCATAAACTAGCAGCGGGACTTCAATCTCAAGGCAACATCCTAAGAGCTTCACCACATTTCTATGGTTTACTTGAGAAAGAACTACAACTTCATTTATGAATTCCTTGATTTCTCTTTGCACTACTATCTTTGATTTCTTGATTGCCACAACATGCAGATCTAGAATTCCTTTAAACACAACTCCATGCCCTCCACCACCAACCACACGAGAGCTATCAAAATTGTCTGTGGCCTTCTCTATATCCCTTAGGGCAACTATCATTCTTTCTCCAATGTCTGTGTTGCTTGATACTAATTGCTTCAATAATAACCCATGATTTTGGTTGATTTTTTTTTGTTTCATCTTCTTTAACCTCTGCCGTTTGATTTTACGTACTATGAGGGGTCCACCAAGTGCTAGAAGCAAAAGTGTTGTACTACCACCCACTCCTAACCCAATGCTTAAACCTGAAAAGAAATACCCCATCAAATTCATGACCATGGAGTTAGGACATATTAAGGGCCGGGACAAATATTTAATTTGTGAATGGTTACAACTAATCCACACTTTAAAAAGGTAACAAAGGGTGTATTGTAGAATGGTACCTTTAGAGGATTTTCTTGATTCTAATAAACTCTCATTTTGCACGAGGATCTCCGTAGGTTCCATAAGTACATTGATAAATAAAACTTATAGTAGATTTTTGGCAAGACTCCATAGGATTGATATGCTCTAGGGTTCTCATGCTCATTTACATATAAAATATAAGTGTATACAAAATATGCAAGAGCAAGAACATTTATAATATATTGAAAGGAAATCATGCATTTCGACTATAAGAATAAAACATCAATTTGGTAGTACTAGTCTATCAACTCATGCTCAAGAATGGTCTAAGGGCCTGTATGTTGGAGTTGTATGCATTCTTTAATTATCCAATTGTGATAAATTATTGTTAGTGATTACTCCATGCATTTACATCATCATTCTTATTTTTTCCTATTTGCATCATATGCCCATGTTTGTTTTGCATGCATTTAGTTGAAATATTAGCTTGAGTTATGTCAACTCTTGTTTCCTATTTTGTGAATTGTATAATCCATTTGGCTTCCCAATTTTTATCTTGTTACAATTTGTGATAAAGGTTTACCTCATGTTAAGTTGAAAACCTAGCTTTTCTTATACATCTTGTTGCATACCCTCACTTTGACTTTTATTAAGAGTTTGGACTATAGGTTAAAGGCTATACTCTTAGTTATTGTTTTGGTATTAACAAGCTTTCGCCCTGCACCACCTACCCAAAATATAAAATTTCCACTATAAAAAAAGCTATGAGTGTAGTCGTATATCAATGCAAATATGCTATTATTTTTAATTAAAATAATGTTTATAGAAAGTATCAACTTATATATTTTTCTATTGTTAACTATAATATAATTTAGCAAGGTTTACTATTAACATTTAAAATTTTCATGATTCATAAAACATGGAAATCGACAAGTTCATCACTCCCGTCATACATGTATACATGTGTCTACTGTTGATAACCTTGGCTAACAGGGTTGCTCTGCTGCTGGTGGAAGGCCCATTTAGGTTTTGGTAATTAATGAGAACATTTATGGACTAATGATTTCATATGAGACATGAAAGATCAAGTGATAGTCCACAAGCAAGGCTGAGCTACATGAAGGCCGTGGAGATGGCATGATCATGAGATGCAAAAGCTCAACAATGTGGCGAGATGAGAAGAAATGGAGTGGAAGACAAAGTGAAGGCAAAGGTATAGGCATAGGTTTTGTCTTCCACCAGCCATGAGGTGACTAGAGAAGTTAAAATGGTCAGATTGATAGGACAGAGATTCGTACTATAAAGAGGGGGCAAATCAAGTATGCAAACATGGTTATCTAATGCGACTTGTGAGAAATGATATCTAACATTGCATATGCATTAGGATCAATGGCGAAGTGAGATCAAGTGAAAAACCTTTGAAAAATATTTGCAAAATGCTAACTTAGTGTTAAAGGTTTTGGTCATCCCGTGGAAGCCCTATTGGAGTTAGCCATTTTAAAAGGTTTGAGAAAAGGGGCTCGGTGGAGTGGTTTTGCACTCGCTGGAGCTCTTCGGTGTGCACTAGAGTGGTGGCACCAGAGCTTAGGTAGTGCTCCAGCCGAGGAATTTTTTAACATGTGCACCTTATATTCTAGTGGCACCGAACTATTGAGCACCAAAGGTTAGGAATAGTACACAACCAGACAATGGCAAATTCAAAAGAGGGCACCAGAGGTCTCCAGTGTGGCACTGGAGTTGCTAAAAGCCATAGTTTGGTTTTGATAATTGAGTGACAACTAGTGGACTAATGCTTTCAATGGAGATGATTGAGCTAGGTCCACATGATGGAGTTGAGCAAGGCTAGGAGATAGCGGAGATTATGTTCATACCATATGCAAGTGCTCAACCTTGGAGATGAAGGTGCTACATGTAGGCTTTGGCCCTGTTCGTTTGAGCTTATCAACCAGAATTAGCCCTACTTTTCAGCCACGGGAACAGTGTTTTTCTCTCACAACAAATCAGTCCTACAAATCAGCCGTAGCAGCAATAAGTCCTGCCAAACAGGGCCTTTCATGATTCCATACCTTTGCATCCATTTGGGATTGAAGCACTAACTATAAGGAAGTATCGCCTATATAGACAGTAGGGCACTGACAAATATATACATGCTTGGAAATTTGCATTCATGGTGTCACTACCACAAGGGAAGCTTGGAAATTTGCATTCATGGTGTCACTACCACAAGGGAAGAGCATCAAAATCATGGCAACTGCCGCAACAAATGCTATAACTCCTATAGTAACCTTCTCCATGTGTGAGTGCACTAGAGAATAGACTTTTGGCCTGCCCCCTCGCCCCTTTGCAACTCGCGACTCACCTCGCCAGAGCTGCCGCCGCCGGTGAAAGCCCTAGTTTGGTTTTGGCTAATTGATGAAACCTTGTGTACTAACCCTTGTCATTAAGTGTTGTATATGAGATGGGGTGGTACAACCCAAGTGGTGGAGCTAGATGATGGTCATGGTGATGGAGGTGACCAAAAGTGAAGATCAAGTGCTCCAACTTGGAAAAGAAGAAAGAGAAAAGCAAAAATCCTATGAAGATCAAGACAAAGGTATATGATAGGATTTTGTTTTGGCACTCAAGACACCATAGAGGGTGTGAGTGTATTTAGGATAGATAGCCGTACTATGAAGAGGGGAGAAATCATAGTTGATGCGGTTGTCAAGTGCCATTAGGTGATCTAACTCGTTGCATATGCATTGGAACCTAATGAGCTAACTCACCCTTGGGAATTGACTTAAAATATTGCTAACTTACGTACACATGTGTTGGAATACTTGAAGATGGCACACATGCACAAGGTGAAGAGATTGGAGAGAAGAAGACCAAGAGGACTGGACTCTGCTCAGCGCACCTACTAGACGCTGGCTGGTGAGTCCAGTCAAGACGTGCAGAGGAGGCGCGGTTTCTGGAGGCGACAGGACTCTGGCTGAGCAGCATGACCAGACTCGCTGGTGCTCCTATTCACGTATCCGGTCTCATTGTCCTGGAGTGTTGGCGGTTGAGGCAGTAGTGATCGGACCCTGGCTACGTCCGTTCATGGTGGACAGGATGTGTCCGGTCGCGTGTTTCCCTCTCTGACACCTATCTGGACTTGACCGGACCCTGGGTTGTGCAAAGTACGGTCATGGCGCAGGCTCGTCTGGTTGGTGGCGTGCGTGCGTGAGCGAGGGCTCAATGGTCGAATTTGAATTGGAGGTGACATGGCTGGCGCTGGTTCACTAGAGGTGGTGACCAGACCCGCCTGACCAGACGCTGTCAGCGAGTCCGGTCAGTGCGTTCGGTACCTCTTTGGGAGCCCAATGACTCTATTTGTTGAGGGCGCCTATTTAAGTGATTTGGTCGGTCTTGGGGTGTCTCTCTGTGGGGGGTATGACCCCTGGTATCCATAGGACAAGACATGGGCCACACCATCAGAGGTGGCCCGGCCCACAAGATCAAGATGTGCAGCGCACAACACTGGTCGGCGTGCACCGTAAGGCTATAAGAAGATATTGTAATACCAAATAGGATATTTTCCTTGTAACCCTATCCCTACAGAGTATATAAGTAGGGGCAGGGGTCCCCTAGATGATATATCAAATCTGATACGCAATACAATCCATAAAGACATAGGACATAGGGTATTACGTCAAGCCGACGGCCTGAACCTGTCTAATCGCTGTCTCTTGCGTTCTGTGTCACCATCTGGTTTTTTCACGCGCACCTCCACCGATTTATCTACTACCGTGGGTATACCCCTCGGTAGACTGTCGACTAGATTTCGTCGATAGTGGTGTGCCAGGTAGGGGATGTACGTGCTGATTCTATGGCGAACCAGATGTGAATCTTTTCTTCAACCAACGTCGCCGGCATCTCGGTATTCGGCGGCACTCAACGCTGGCACGCAGCGGATTGCTTTCCTCGACGAACGACCGCGCGTGCTAAAGTCCGACGCCTTGCCATGCGCCTTCAACAGACGCAACACGCGACAACAAGATAAGTCAAGTCACTTCCTAATTAAATATTGTTATCATACTTCCAGATATATCCATATGTCTGCATTATTTTGGTTGGGAGAAACCTAATCGCATCTTGTTGTTGCTCGTGATTTCTGATCGGATATGCAAGATCATTTCCACGGATCACGACAACCAGCAATCAGGAAAGGCGGCCAGCGATAACGCGATGTGGAGCAGTGTTTCCACCAAAGATGCTGATCGACCGTACAAGCTAATTAGAGTAGTTGAAGAGATATACAAGTACATATGCATCTGGATCTACACCACCATGCAAGCAACCTCACGTATCTCAGGCATGCAAGGAAGATCTCGGACTGTGCCCTCGCCTCGGTCGGACACGCTCAAGGGCTTCGCCTCCCCACGCGGATTGACTCCGTCAGGCTCTGATTACGCCCATTTGCCTATGACTCCGCGTACCTATCTGAGCTGTCAAGCGAGCTATCTAAGCTGCCAAGCGAGCCGTCCGAGCTGTTAAGCGAGACGTCCAAACTGCCAAGCAAACCGTCCGAGCTATCATGCGAGCCGTCCGAGCTATCAAGCGAGCCGTCCGAGCTGTCAAACGAGCCATCCAAATCACACCCATCTACTCTACTCGGACATCATGACTCACCGACTCTTGTACTCCACTCGGTGTCAATCAAGCTAAGTCACGTTTTAATATTTTTCTAAATATTCTCTAATCTTCGTACATCTCCGATATCGCTCCATGATGTTTTCTCCATAATTATTCTCTACACGATTTTTTCTCTACATATACCATCTTATAGATGACACACGCTTTCGACTCAATAAATCCCCAAACAGTCATGTTGATGTTTGGATGTCCCTAGAGACGACCCTGTCTTCAGCTTCTCACTACACGTGCACGAGCGTCTATCCTCTGCGTTACGGGTGGTCGACAGTGGCTCCTTGGCGACGCTTTGTTCTTCCTACACGCACACGGGCTCCGCGCTCCGCGTTATGGTTAATGGACTAGCCAGGGCTGGAGACTCAGCTATAAACTAAATGTTCGGATGATTTATATTAAATATAAACACTTCATCCAAAAACAAACATAAT